TCAACCTGCTAACCACACTGTCTTGATGTGCCCCAGGACACCACTGGCATTCTTGACCACAAAGGCACACTGCTGGCTCATGGTCTCCCCATTGTCCAGCAGGACCCTCAAGTCCTTCTCTACAGAGCTCTTTCCCAGCAGGTCAGCCCCTAACCTGTACTGATGCACATGATTATTTCTCCCCAGGTCTAGGGCTCTATATTTGCCCTTGCTGAACTTCATTCAGTTCCCCTGTCTCCTCTGACCCTCCAGCTTGTCCAAGTCTTGCTGAATGGCAGTACAGTCCTCTGGCACGTCTGCCATTCCTCTCAGCTTCATATCATCAACAAAATTGGGATCGAATTATGGAGCTTGTGGAATTCTGCCATCTGGAATTAATGTATATACAATGTGTTTTATCATCCCTTTCTTTCATTAAAGCAAGAAGTCAGTAACATTTTGTTTTTAGATTATGCATACAACATCACTTTCTTAAAACAAGCCAGGAACCCCGCGGTACTGTTGTCATGCTGTACCTACTATGCTCAAGAACTTGTACAAATTCCAATGATTTTTTGAATTAAGTTTACCTTCCTAGTGAAATAAGTCACTGAATACAGGTACTTCTAGGAGGAATGCGTGACCTTTACTGCAACACATAAAAGGACATGCTCTGGACAAATATAATCAGCAGTATTATTCTGATAAATGCTCTCACATGCCCAAGAAAGCATGCAGAGAAACAGCTTCCATGAAGTCAGAATGAAATCCAATCATTTTCTGTAGTATGTTAACCATGAACTGCTCTAAGTTCCAAAAGCCCTTTGGAATTTCCTTTAAACAAAGATTATTTGTCTGGAAAATCTACACAAGTGTATAGAAAACGGTCTGACTTATTTCATATTGGCAAATCTGCATGAAAGAGACATTTGAGGATGAAAATATGATTTCAAAGCATACTAATTTTACTCCATAAGGCAAGTAATTTAACTAACAAAGATTTAGTTTGCTCTGCTGCAGTAGAGCAGGACAACCGTTTTAAGCCACAGAGGCGTAGCAGATGCCCATAATTCATATGGACAATGCCAGTGCTGTCTATGTGATGAAGCACAAATGACGAGTTCCACTGTATAAGGGTTTTAAAGTAGGTATACAAGTGTTCTTCACTCAACAGTGAACTTGAAGTTATGGGTATGTGCTTTGCCTTCTAATACTCAAGTGACACCTATATGCATGTATTAATATATCATCTGTAAATATACCAGCAGGTGCCTAGAGTCTGACTTGATGAGCTATGCTGTACTTCGTACCAAACCAATAACACTATCCTGAGGAACAAGAAAAACCCTAGCTGTTCAAAGATCATAGTTTTTCATAAACAACTGTGTCAGCATCATGTGCTCTATGAGCATCAGCCTGAGCCCTTTCTAGAAAGCTAGATATGGCCCTCAGATCCCAAGCCTGACACAGACAGGCCTATAAAACTAAGCATAATTCATTTCTTTGCTAAAATGATCTACTGCATCTCTCAAGTTCCAAAATAAACAAGAAATAATAATTAAAAAATCTAATTATCTGAAATAAAATATCTAGGAGCCAAACCCTAAATATCTAGAAGCGGCCTCACACAAGCAGACAGACAGACTCGGAGGCACCAGCTCCTCAGGTCCACAAATAACACAAGCTATTCTTCTGGTACAATGGGTCTTTTCCAGCCCAGTGCCAAGGCATTTCTGTGAGGCAGTCTGAGGGAAGTGTGGCTGTGCACGCTGCCCCGAGGAGCACGCAGGTCTGCCAGCAGTTCTCCCATCATCCCTCTCCTGCACTAGATCAACTGCATTTCAAACTGAAATTTGCCATTAAACCCAAATTAGTCCATTACATGATTAAGCTTCCCTTCAGAAAGAGACAGTATAAACTCCCTGCCAGAGCACGCTGTCTCTCCTTTAATTGGAGAGATTGAATCATTCTCAAATCATACGCTCCAGCTGAGCATTACTCCCAATATACACCTGCACCAGCTTTTTCTTTAAAAATACAAAATAAAAAGAAACAGCCACCAGCACCAAACTAACCCAGACACATAAGTACATTGCCTCCATGCAGTTGCAGCACCAGAGGATGTAGTGAGCCTTCCTCCTTCCTCCAGTAAAGCAGGAGAAAAATCTTGCATGGCTGTTGGCCACCAGACAATGCCACCCCACGCAAATTCTTGTGGAAATCTCTTTTTCATGGGTTTTACATCCTGGGAGCTGGTGGCTGCCTGCTCTCCTGTGGCAGTGAGAGGGAAGGAGGCCGGCATGCTCAGCCCACTCCAGGCAGAGGGGGCAGAGAATGGGGCACCTCCCTGCACTCGCCACAGCCCCAAACACATGGGGAGGGGGCTGTAGTGTCACAAGCATCAGCCACAGCCGCAGCAGCATTGTTTGCAGGGTGACAGGAAGAGAAGAACTAGACTGGACCAGTCCAGACTGGAACAAACCCCTCCTACCATTACTATTATTCACAACCCCCCACTGCCCCCCCCAGCACTGCTGTCTCTCACATTTATCAAGGAAAGAATGGCAGCAAGTGCCGGGGCTTCAGAGCCAAAAACCCAACAGCTGGGGTGGGGGTTGAAGCTGAGCAGCATCCCCAACCCACCACCATGCAGCAGAGAGCCAGCCGCGCTGCTGCCTGGGAGAGGAGGCAGACCCAGCTATCCCGCTCCGTGGGACGCTGTGCTTTGGTGCCAGGTGGCTATTTTCAACCAGGAGTACACAACCAAATCATGCTCAGTCACTGGAGACTGCTGCAGAGCTTGGAAACTCTGTGCTTCTCCCATCTGCTGGCATGCATGGGCTGTGCAAGATTCCACCGCGCAAGAGATGTGCTTCAGAAGAGCTAGGAGGAAGGTTTTAGCTCACTCACTTTCCTCTTTGCCATAACCAGGTTCCTTGGCAAAGACATGCACCTCCCTGGGATCCAAATGGGTCTCTGACATCCATGGTGCTGCCTACTAACAGCCGCAGTACCCTCCTTCCCCCATCTCAAGTGACCTACTGCTGCAGCCCCCTTACCCACATGTCACCTGCCCCCCCCTCCCCCACATACACACACACTGTGCTGGCAGCTTGCTGTGACCGGCAGCATGGGACACCCTGACACCCAGGCTCACGCTTCACTCTGGGCCACAACTCAACCCTCTGCTCCATGCTTCCCAGAAGCCACCAGCACAGCTAGCAGCAGCCAGCCGAGCAACCAGGACCAGCAGAGGCAGCCGCACTGAGGAGGCTGAGCCCTAGGCAGGAGCCTTCCAGAAGGACTTGCAACACCTAACCTGCAGCCGTGCTGACTGACCAAGGGGAGGGGAAACGGTGCATCCTTGAGACAAGCTTTTTTCTGCCGCCTTCTCTGCTTCTCGGGAGGAGGAACATCTCTGGCCACAGACAGCTGACTGGGAGCGAAGGACTCCCTTTCCTCCCGGCGCTGAGGCAACGTGCCCCGTCATTTCTGCTCTCTCGCCGGAAAGAGCCACTTGTGCAACACCGCATGACTCCTGCCGTCCCCTCCTGCCTCGCGCTGTCACCGCGCTGCCATCAGCCGCACCGAGAGGGACGGCCGAGGTGACACGGAGCCACCTCGGGAGCGGCTCAGGTGAGGGGGGAGAGGTGTGACAGCTCGGGAGGGAACCCGGATGGATGGCCACGGTTACAGACACACAACATGGCCTCTGCGAAGCGGAGGAGGAGAGACGCCTCGGCCACGCCGCGAGCGCTTCTGCTTCCCCAGCTCTCCCGCTCGGCATCCAGGCCCGCCCGGCGGCCCCGCGTTCCTTTCCGGCTGTCATTTACCGGCGGGACCGCGGCCGGCAGGGCGGCCCGCAGCGCTGCGGGCGGCCGTGACAGGAGCGGGGCCGGCGGGCCGGGGAGCCCGTTCGCCCCGAGGGACCCCCGGCCCTCCCCACGCCGCCGGGACCCACCGACGGCTCGGAACTGCCCCCCGCCGCCCGGTGCCCCGGCAGGGGACGGGGGAGGCGGCACGCAGCCCCTCCGCGGGGATCCGCCATGTTGGGGCCGCCACCGCCGCCGAGCCCCCCCGCCCGCTCCCCTCGCGCCGCGGCCCCCCGCCCGCTCACTGCCGAGCCCCGCGGGAGCGCGACGCGGCCGCAGCGCGGCCCCGGTGCCCGGCCCGCCCCTCCCGCCCGCCGCTCGGCGGGCACGGCCGGCCGCCATGTTAGCGCGGCGCCCGCTGACCCTCCGCCCGCCGCCGCCGCCGCCGCCCGCGGCTCCCTTCGCCCGCCCCATCCCCGGGACGCGGCCCCGCAGCGCCGGACGGCGGCGGCCCCGCGGCGGCCGGGGAGAGGGGCGGCCCCGACCGTGACTCATCCCCGCCGCATCCCGTTTGCCTCCGCCGGCGAGGGGACGGCCGCGCTCGCCCCGCGGGCAACGGGCAGCGTGACGGCGGCCTCAGCCCCGGCGCCGCTTCCCCCCGGCCCCCGGCGCCCCGCGCGGGCGGGGCGGCCCCCGGCCCCGGTACTCACGTGAGATAACGGCCCGAAAGATTTGGTAAATCGTCTTCTCTTTTTAGGCGGAATTTTTAAAGAGGGATGTGGGAACCTACGGCAGAAATACAGGCGGCGGCAGCGGCGCCTTCCAGGGCCATAGGCTGCGGGGGCGACCGGCGGTGAAAGCGCAGCGCAGCGCCAGTAGGGAGGGCACGGACGCAGAGAGACGGAACGGAGCGGGCCGGGGCGCGGGGCTGCGGCGGAACGGGAACGGAGCGCGGGCGGCGGAGCGGCGCGGCGGGCAGAGGAGCAGGGGGCGCCGCCGGCAGCGCTCTTATAGGCGGCGCGGCCGGGGAGGGACCGGGGCCGCGCGTCACCGGCCGCGGGGCGGGAAGAGCTGCCGCCGCTCCCGCCTTCCCGCCTCAAACCCGGCTCCCCGCGGGCCTGGCTGCGCTCCCGCCCGCCCCGTGCCGGCGGCGGAGGAGGCGCTGCCCCGCCGTGCCCGATCCGCCGACGTGGAGGCGGCCGCCGGGACAGGTGCGGGCCGCGCTCCGCGGCCGCTTCCCTCGGGGCCCGAGTGCCGATCCGAGCGGGGCCCCGCGACCGCCGCTCTTTGTGGCGCCGGAGCGTCTTCAGAAGTGGGTGTTTTTTTTTTTGAGCCGCCAGTTTGGGAATGGCGGGGAACGTCGCCGTGAACGGCGGGGCAAGGGGAGCGCAGGGGCTGCGGAAAGAGCGAAGCTTGTGTGACACAGGCGTTGGGTTCGGGACGCTGAGTTGTTTCCAGATACAGGGCTCTTCGAAGACAGTGCTCGAAAACCCACCTTTTTTTGCAGCCCTTTTTGTAGTTCCGTGCAGAGAGCGGGTCAGGAGCTGTCAGAGATCATCATTCAGAGCCCGAGGCGGGGGGTTGCCTACATACGATTTTGGGTGACAGCCTGGATCTCCATTCCATAACAACATCCACGGCAGTGAGACCAGGCCGGTGTCATGCAGTGCTGAGCAGGTGGCAGAGGCTGGGTCCTCACAGCCGGCCAGGAGCCTCCTTCACCAAGGGAACGGGAGCCTGCTGCCTGCTATTGATACGTGGAGCATTAAGCTGTGAGCAAAGCTCACTGGAGGAGACCGAGCATGGAATGATTTGGGTTGGAAGAGCCCTAACTCACCTCACTCTTAGGTGAGTTTCAAGACAAGTGATTACATGAACTAATGGGATTTAGCCAACCCGCTCAGGTGCTCGTACATCTGCACATCCTAAGGTCCTTATTACTTCATAACATCCTTGTGAGGAAGCGCAGGTCGTGCTGCAAGTGGAAAACAGCCACTCAGAGACAGGGAGCTCAGGTAAAGGTCACCAAGGGGTTTTGTGGTGGAGCTGAGAACTGAACCCTGATCCCACAGTCCTGCCATGTTAGTTTCCAAAGCACACAGGGCTGCCAGGTTCTTAAAGCTCCTTCAAGCAGTTGTAGTGCTTCCAAGGTGCTAAAATCTACTGAGACTCCCCATAGAAGAGGATGGAAAGTAATTGTTTTGGAAGGTAATTGTTAACTTAAGAACACACTAATGTATTAATTAAAACCAAAATCCTGTGGGTTAGTGCAGGTTGGATTTTTTTTTCTTCCAAAGCAAAGCTGGGTTTGTTGAGTTTTGTAGAACAGAGAATGTAGAAAAGTGGCTAATAGACACACACCTGTCATCTCTGCAGAAATAGAATGAGACAGAAGTTCTGCAGCATGCAGTGATGGAGTTTGTTTACTCTTCATCTGTTGTCACCTTCTCTTTTGCGAATCATTTTAAATGAGGAGGAAGTGAGCTGACAAATGTATGCAGTCTCAGTGCGGTGTCTCATCTTTCCCGATAAGAGCACTAAGAGGATACAGATCAGCCAGTAAAATCAGGCACTTAATGCAGAAGTCAGGGGACCTCTTGCATACATTTGTGACAAGCCTTGCATTCAGGAATAAAGCCAGAACAGTTTGCACTGCTGTTTTTTCAAGTGTGTTCTGTGCTACACCCCTCATTGGTGACTCTCCTGCTGTTTTGAGTTTCTATTCCAGAATAGTAAGTGCAGGAGGAGGAAAGGAATCACCAAAAACCCAAAAATATAACCCACACACTGGAAAAAAAAAAAAAGCTGTAAAGAGATAGGAAGAGAGATTTGGACAGATCCTGGACAAGGGTACCATAAATGTGAATCATTAACAAGCAAAAAGCAAGGAAGGATTAGAGGGGAGGACAAAGGTTATAGGAATATAACCAGAGGAGCCATTCAGACTGTTATATTGTTAGGTAATACAGAGTTTTTTAAATGTATTTTTGGAAGGGATTTAAACTAGGAAAAGGGCTTAGCTTAAAGTTTGGAGGAGTTTAGTGATGGTGAAAGAATAAGTAAAAAAATAAAATAAAATAATAGATCAACAGTAATTCCATGTAGAACTATTTATTTTATCTGTGTTCTTATCTTGTGATGGCAATAGGTGAAGATGTCTCAGCAGTACATGAGGGATGTGACTTCCACATCAGTTGCTGCCATCTCATCTACCTGCACCTTCCCAGAGGAGTTCTTGTTTTGCTAGGTAGGGGATGTTTTTAACATTCTTACCATGCACATGAAAACAGGCTGACTATTGAGGAGGGAAGGACAGTCACGTAGGCCAGGAAAAAGAAGTTCAGTTTGATATGCAATTAATTGGGGGCACTGTCAGCTATTTTAAAACATACGGAGGGAGGATTTCCTGCTCATGGGGGAAGCAACACTTGAAAACAGAAACATAAACTTCATCCTCTCCAATCTACTGAATAAACAAAAAGAAGTGGCACACTGTTCAAGAGTGAACTACATACAGAATGAGGACCCACACTTTTTGCAGTTTCCACTTTCACTGTTGAGACTAACGCAGAAATAGAAAACCGATGTCACAGCTTTTAGCATTGTACTACACAAAAGTAATGCTGCTTTGTACGCACAGGCAGAATGTAAAGAGTTCAATAACAGTTCCTTCATTTCATTAACATTTGTCTACGCTCAGTTTTAATCCTTCAGTTAGTAACCTTGTGTGGCTCCGCATGCACAGTGTGCTTCATGGATTACTAGAGTAACAGCTCGCGTTGTGTTCTGTAAGATGAAAAGGCAGCAGAGCATAAAAGGCAGGTACAGCCCTCACTTCCAATTGTGAGGCGCTTGTACCACATTTCCTTTTCTGCCTCCACACGTGTTGTTTCTCGCACTGCTGACAGTTGGATATAGACAAAATTAGGTTTTATCCCTGTGACTCAGATAAACAGGAGCAGGAAGGACACCCTTCCCCACCTCTCATTTTGGAATGCAAAAAATACTCATGGTGAGGTAACCCCGTGGTCAGGAGTTTCAAACTGATTTGAGCAGATGTCTGAAGGCTGTGTAGCCTGATGACCTTCTCCACTAACCCAAAGTATTTCCTTCTCTTTATGTCTTCCTATGGGCTACCTCTTCTCGCCTCTGGTTCTCCCATTTCCTTTCCCTCTCTGATGCACTCTCTATCACCAGACATCAGCAGGGGATCAGATTCCGCTCCTGCAGGTGAGAGAATGAGATTATTTCCTCCTCCGTCTCCTCTTCCTCTTCCCTCTCTGCTGCCAACTCCTGCAGTCGTTGGTGTTTTTTCTTAAAGCCTCAGGTGCAGGAATTGTATGGGCGTGCAAGAATTTCAACTTCCATCGAGAATAAAATCACGATCATAGAGAAGAGTTTGAAATATGTTTACTGAAAACACGGAGCAACAGAAGATAACTACAAATAATAACCCACTTTTTGTGTAGGGAAAAGGTTACTGCAATTTCAGAATATTTGGACTTGGCAATATGGTTTCTCTCTTGGTTTCTTGGCTTCACGTCCATGCGGAGGCATCCAGTGCCAGGAATAGTTAGCAATCTGTAGCTGTCCAGCAGGAGCACCGAGCCATTGCAGTAAGAGGAAAGAAGCAGTCAAAATTTCATTTTGGTCTGAGCTGTGTAGGGGAGGAATGGCTGTGCAAAGGGCAGGCACAGGAGGAAAGAAAAATGAGCATGGTGACAGATGACAGGGCCCCTTGCTCCCACTGTGCTATAGAAGTACCAGATTTCCAGCAGCCTCTATGTAGTAGAACAGTCTATATAAATGGGACCTGCTGGCAGTACTGTCCGTTTGGTACTTGAATCTTTCTACTTTCTCATTCCTGCGTAGTTCAGAGCTATCACTGTTCCTGTCCAGTGGAAAGAAACACTGATAAGCAGCTGGAGGATTGATTCATAATTATTAAAAGCACAGAGGTGGTGGGAGGAAAGACATCTCTGCCTTAGCACACAAAGCAGTTGCCTCTCAGCTATGTTTGCTGAATTATTTGCCGGATCAAAATAGCTGCAGCAGAAATCAGATCTGGTCTTGGATTAGCCTGGTTTACGCAGTGAATATTTACAGAATACATCTCATACTCACGCTAAGTCATTTGAACAAAGAAAAGGTTAAAAAATGAGTATATACAGGCTCATTGTTTTGACTGACATAGCTTCTATAGAGGCATGTGGGATGATCTGACACATAGAAAATCAATGGAAACAGTGGCTCAAAGCACTATGTAAGGGTATCACAGATAAGTAACGCTGAATTTTGGTTGTTTTAGAAAATTCTAAAGTAAAAAGAAATAACAAAAAAAAAAGAATCAGTCAATTTAGGAGTATCTAGCAATATGCTATAAGCACAGTTTTGCTATTTACATATATAGCCCTTGTATCAGTTCACTGCTAGAATGTTATTCACCTCTACAAAAACCTCAAGTGGATGACCAGAGACTAAAAGAAAATCACAGAATCTCAGAATCACAGAATTGTAGGGGTTGGAAGGGACCTCCAGAGATCATCGAGTCCAACCCCCCTGCCAAAGCAGGTTCCCTACACCAGGTTGCACAAGTAGGCATCCAGGCGGGTCTTGAATATCTCCAGAGAAGGAGACTCCACAACCTCCCTGGGCAGCCTATTCCAGTCTGTGAACTAGATATCTTACCAGCTGAATAAGGACTATCAAAGAGAATATTCAAATATGAGCATTACAGTGGAGTCCAGTGACCTGCATGCACACAGTAAACTAGCAAACAGCAAGAAGATTCAATAGCTTTAAGTACCTGCAATAGAATATGGATTTCCTACTGTCAAGAAATAGACTTAAGCCCAGCCCAAGTTAGAAACTTGGATTTGTTATGTAGTAGAAATTTAGTTGTGTATTGATCATTCACATTCTAGTTCCTTGTGTCCAGGTACCATAGATCATCATGAGAACTTGCAGGATCAGGCAGTGGCTCAGGGTTCAGCCTCTGTGAAATTTATCTTTTCTCACTATGAATGTCTTTAGACTGGTGAAGAGGCATGAAGTTTTCCTTTATGGATAAACAGGAGGCATCTGTTCCCAGAAGAGTGAACTAATAAACGGTGATAAGTCTGTATCAATTTAACAATGCAGCAGTCCAAGCGCTGAAGTGAGATGAAGTGTTCCACGTGCCATCCAGGCCTTCTGATGAAAGTTAAAGCAATGTGGATCGTGCTGTTACTGGTGGTTACAGAATGGAGGGAGTATTTTCTGGACTAGAATCACAGAATCACAGAATAGCTTGGATAGGAAGGGACATTAGAGACCACTTCCCACAGGCAGGGTTACAGCCCACCAGCTCAGAATGCCAAAGGCTCCTCCAGCCTGGCCTTGAATGCCTCCAAGGATGGGGCATCCTCAGCTGCTTTGGGCAGCCTGTGCTAGTGCCTCACCACCCTCTGAATAAGTAATTTCCTCCTAATATCTAATCTAAATATCCCCTCTTTTAGTTTAAAACAACTCCCCCTTGTCCTATCACTATCAGACCATGTTAAAAAGTCAGTCTGCCTCCTGTTTATAAGCCCCCTTTAGGTGCTGAAAGGTCAAAATGAGGTCTCCCCGCAACCTTCTCATCTCCGGACTGAACAAGCCCAATCCCCTCAGCCTTTCTTCACAGGAGAGGTGCTTCAGCCCTTTGATCATCTTTGTGCCCTCCTCTGGACCCACTCCAACAGCTCCATATCTTTCTTGAGCTGGGTCCCCATGTCTGGACACAGTGCTGCAGGTGGGGCCTCATGAGGGCAAAGCAGAGAGAAAAAATCCCTTCCATCTCCCTGCTGCCATCCCTCTGTTGATGAGCCCAGGATGCAGTTGGCTTTCTGGGCTGCAAGTGCACACCGCTGGCTCATGTCCAGCTTCTTGTCCATACATCTGTGTTGCTGTATGTTACAGTTGCAAGGATTTTTTTTCCATCCAGATTTTTTTTCTCAGCCCTGTATGTTTTGTATAAGTAGTCTTTCCCAAATTTGATCCTAGCTCTACACAATTAGGAGTGTTCTCACGCTCCTACGCTTGCTGGTAATTCTTGTCACTCACCTTTCAGCTTGCCAAAGACACACGTGTTCTTCTTGTGTTTTCCAGACAACAGATGCAACAGTTTGACTGAGCTTCCCTGGCTGAATGGGCATTTTGTCAAGCACAAGTTCCCTCAGTTTCCAGAGAGGAAGTTTTCCAACTGAGCCTTGAAGGAACACTGCACTCATCAGTGTCCCCCACTGCCTTCCTGTGTGACCCGCAGGCAGTGAGGGGGAGAGTGATCTCTTGAGACCTCATGTCAATCTGAGATGCCTCTGAATATCTTTGTTTTCTTTTTGACAAAAAATATTTGACCCACTTAAGATGAATCTTGTTTACTTGCATGAATAGATTTACTAATGTTAGCAGCAGTAAGATAAGCAGACTGGCACTATTCACAGCACCCTGCATCTGAAATTTTACATGTATTAGAAGTTAAGACAGACTTCTTCAAAAGGATTTTTTTTCCATAAAGAAAAGAAAACCCTTATCTGTCATGAATGGCAGCAGAGACCAACGTGAAACAATTATTCCTAAAACACAATGAGGAGCATACAGAAGGACCTGCAGGATCTGCACATACATTGAAAGGAGAGGAGCTGCACAGCTCCAACTTGTGCACTGAGTTGTCAGAGCACTGCTGCTGGCACTTGAGGCTTCTAAAGATATGGTCTGTCAACAAGATTCTGAGTCCCTGTTTGGATGCAATCAAGCTAGATTTTCATCTTTAGCAAGCTGTGTTAATGTACCTGATGTTCTCTTGACGCTTGTCCTGATCTCTAAGTTTTCTAGCTTGTAATTTCTGTTTCTAGGCTCATCCTTTCTGTGGTCCTCAAAATCAGGGAAGGAAATCCCTTTTTAATGTTGTTGCCATTAAAGTCCCCTGAGCCAATTGATCTTATTCAGGACTTCAGCCAAATTTTGCCCAAGAATGTGAGGAAACTTCCTGGGTCAGATGTGAGATGGAAATACAAGTGAAATCTGGGTATCTTTTGTTTGGTGTCTGATGCTCTTTTTCATACCCAGCAGTCAGGATGTGTGGCCCAGTGAGCACACTGAAACCAGAAGATGCGTTGCCAAGCCAGGAGTTCTCACTTGTTTCTAACAACTCCTAAACCCCAAGGTATGATTCCAAGGAGCAGATCCAGAGAGGCAGCAGGGTGAGGCTTAACAAAGCCAACATTGGGCAGGAGGTGCAAGCTGCTGAGAGCTGCTGCGCTGAGCCAGGCAAAGGGGCCGTGGCTCTGCTGCTCCCCTCTTTGTGGAAACCTCCAGAACTGGGGATGGCAAACAGTGGCTGACAGCAGTGAGCACAGTGCCATGGGTCTGACCATCTGTCTGACCATCATGAGAATCGCCGGTAAAACTGGTCTGCAACTCTGAGAACAGGATTTGGTTTTTTGTTAAAAATTATGTGCAAAGGCGGCAGATAATTCTGTTCATGCTTGAAACAGTGAGAAAAGAAGTAACAGTGAGTGCTTTGCAGAATACATTTTCCTGTGAGTAAAAGATTCCAAGGCACCAAATTGTTTTTGATGGGTTATTTTGAAATAAGTAGAAGGATGCAGCCTCACTGAAATTTCTGCAAGCACTGACAGTGCCACAAATGCATTGATGTGGCAGGAACATGTTCTCTGGGTCACAGGGACATTTTCAAAATTCCACACGCCTCTTTAATGCCACTCAGCAGACAGCCTTGAAAACTCATTTTGTTAGCAAAAACACCACCATCCTCTCCTTGCCAACTTCTTTCTATGTCCTTCTCCATTTTATATAATTTTCCTGTGCAGGAATTTGCAGAATTTGCTTCCTCCCTTCCACAGTGCCTGAGGCAAGGCAGAGCAACAACACCGCACCAGGGAAACTTCTGTGGTTCCACAACTGGTTGTCCTCATGGGGAAGAACTGTGTAAAGCAGAGTGCATGCAAGTTACTGCCTCCACACAGCACCATGTCTTCCCATCATTTTGGATTTGGTCCTGATCCCTTTCTGTTTACAGAATAGGGCTTCAGGCTTTATTTATTTATTTATTTATTTATTTATTTTCCAGGTTTACATTCGGGAGCCAAAGGAATGCTTACCCTTTTCTGTAAGAGAAGCAGCGTTCAGAAGATTGATTATAATAATAAACTAGGGATTGTGTTTCTGAGATTTTACATGTAAACACAATCTTAAGTGTAATTGGTTTCAATGACTTCCATTTAATTCTTGAACAAAGTTTCCTTTTAAATTCCACACCAGATTGGACATGGCCAAAGATAAATTGAATGCAATCAGATCTACAATTTGCTTTGATGATATGCTACATTATTTCTTACAACAAACTGTTTATTATACAAAGCTAATGGTGTTACTCATGCATTTAACAAATCTAATATATTTGAAACTATGACAAAATGATAAGTTCCAAATTTAAGTCTGGAAAAACAAAACAAAAAAAAAAAAAAACATGTTTTATTAAAGAGTTTCATCTATAGTTACATCCTTGTCAATGCCCAAGTCATCACTTTCACAAAGAATTCTTAAACTAAGAATTTAATGTGCATTTCTCATCATTATACAAATCAGAAATCTTAATTACACTGCCTCTTCACGATAACTTTAATTTACATTCGCTTAATGAATGTATATTCTTAAGAAGCATGTCTGAATTTAAATGTTTTTATGGTGTTGTTAACATAATACTCCTTAAAACTGTTAATAAGACCTCTAAAAAGACTTGCTCTCATCTACGCTGAGCCAGCTGTTGCACTGGGCTGCCATGGAATTATTTGAATACTCATGAAATTTACTGAAAATTAGCGTTGTCTTCATCATCATCCTTTCCAACAACAGCAACCACAAAATGATGTAACAATGACAAAAAAAAAAATCTGTAAAACTAGACCCTCGTGGCTGTGACAAGAATTCTTCAGTGCATTTTCTGGAAATTTGTAAAATCAAGATGATCTTCTAATATTTAACCCAAACAATTCTTACTTACCCCCCCACTCCTCTTGCTGATATTTATCATGATTTCATCATGGCAACTACAAATTAATGAAGAGAGAATATAGTCCCTGAAAATACAAATATTTGATTGCAGGAATTGTTAGCCCTTGAAATGCAGTGCTGCTTACCACTGAGCTAATCCAACTACTCTGTGTTCTGAATTACCACTTCAACCCTTGCCTTGTCTTGTTCATGCAGCTGAGGAACGCAAATGCCATGCCTTACAAATAAAAACCAAAAACAGCAGCAGAACAGCTGCCATCATCCATTGGCCTAAAACATAAGGGCCTAGACTTTAGGAAAAATGGCTTGCCCAAATTATACCACTTCTGCAATATATTAGGGATAATTGATGAATGCCAGACTTTGCTATTTGGATGTCTGTTGAAATTCCATGGTGGCAAAAGCAGGACACACACAACATTTCCAACATGGTGGGAAGTCTTCTGTTACAGCTAACAATGGAAAGCCTACTGAGATTTCTAATTTGCCACCTGCAGTGACATGCCAGGCGCTGTGCTCCTGCCTGGCCCACCCCCAAGCTCTTTGCTCTCACAGCTCTTCCCAGCTCCAGCTGCGCCTGGCTGCAGTCCCCAGGCTGGTCTCACTCTCTGCTGCAATGCCTTAACGTTTCTTCTTCCTTCCATTTACCCAATTCCTCAGGGACTTTTTGCTTGTCGCAGTATCCCTACTACTCCCACTGTCTCTTTTTCTGAACTCAATGTTTTTGTTTCCTATTTTGTAGGGGATTTTTCTTCTTGGTGGTTCAGTTTCATTGAAGATGATAGGAAGAGGTGATCCCTACAGATAGTTTAGAAAATCTACCGATGATTCAAAATAAGCACTTAAAAAACACTCCAAATGCCATATTCTCACTGTGAAATCTTAAAAACATGGATTGTCCCTTCTGCCAAGCGCTAAGTAGAAATGGGCTTGTAAGGGCACCTTGCCATTTTTCTTTGAAAAGAATTAATGGAATAGACATCCAAATCAGCCTTCTTACTCTGCCGCACATATCATGTGTTCATAAATCTGTTCACCTTGAATAAAAACAGCAAACACACAGAAGATTTGGCGCACGTGATCCTTCTTGCAGCACCACAGCTAAGACATTGTTGTGTTTGGGGCCCTTTATTCCAAAGCACTGTCTCGTTATTGTCTTTTTAAGCTGTCTGGTTTCTAAGTTCTCAGAATTTAGAAGATCAGAAGAATGTTTCCATTGTCCAGATACCAGCCTGCTTCGTGTCAGCCTGTTGGCCTGACCGGCATTTCCTTGAGGTCCATGATCTGCAGAAAAGGGACCTAGCAGGTTGAGTATGACTGGGCCAGAAGGCCTGGGGCAGCAGGCTGCACTGCGCAGCCACATACCTCAGCATGTGTTCATCACCCCACGTGTCAGAAAGTTACAGAATATCCCGAGTTGGAAGGGTCCCTCAAGACTCATTGAGTCCAGCTCCCAGCTGGACCACAAAGGACCACTCAAAATTCAAACCCTATGTAGCCCCATGTATTGCGCACAGCGACATCTCCTTCATCTTTTTTCCCACGTGGAAGGATCTAGCAAACAGAGTCTTCTTCCTTCAGTGGAAGAGGACTGGATACAACTTATGCTCTGCTCTTCCTGAATACCTCCTGCAGCAGGGAGGCTGCTTGGTGCCCACACTAGTAAATGTGTCAGCGGAGGCCATGGTCACTTCTGGGGCCTGCTGGCTCTTGTACATGTCTGACAAAAACATGTAACTAATGATGGTGACTATTTTGAAAAAGTAATATTTTGTAGCGGAGAATTTGCTCTATCAAACGGTGTTATTGTGCTCTTTGTAGCTGTTATAGTTTCCATGGAAATAAATAGGAGGCATTACTTACGGAGCAATCTACGTACATTTGTTTGGCACTCTGAATGAGCAAATGAGCAACATATAAGGCAAAGGGAACACTTGCAGAGCACTCCAAGGAGCCCCTGGGCATAGGGCTGATGGGAGCCCATGCAGCTGTGCTGCCTGCAGGACGGGGCTGCTCTCTGTGCCTGACACCATTAGCATTCCTTGTCAGCTGCAGCTCCCAGCACCGTCTGTGCACAACTTGGGAAAACCAGGTCACTGTCTCGGCTCATCCTCCTTGATAAGCAGTGTTTTCTTCTGCTGCTCTGAGGCTCCGGACAGTGTAATTAGTTGTCACTAATGTTCAATTCTGTGTTCAGCTGCTTCAGCCCAGGCCAAAAATGAAGGTTTTGCATAGTTTGCATGCCCTAATAGGAGGGGAACTTGAGAGAGACCCACTTTCCTTGTGTTATAATGATGCAGCTGATATTTTTCAAAAGACCAGAAAGAATACTAATGACATGTTAAGCTTTCAGCACTCCCAGAACAGAGAATAAATGAGATTCCAATGAAAATACAAAGCTATACACCTACCCGTGCCAGATAACAACTTGTACTGCAAGGCTGTCATAACGAGCAAACTGAAATCATGCCCTCAAGCAGAAAAACTGCCTGAAATTGCATTTAACTGCTTTGGGTTTGCAGGAAGATGAGAATCCTGATATTCCAAAGAAGCTGGAGGGCAGAAAAAAGAAAGAAGTCAACCCAAGTGCCAGACCAGAAATTCAGATTTCTGCAATGCAATGCTGGAAATGGGGTCTTTTAAGCCTTTGGGGAGTACATTTTGAGGGGAATGTATGGAGTTGGTCCATGGTGATTAAGCAACAAACTTTACAGACGGTCAAGTGGTTTTATGCTGTGGATAAATAAATAACCATAAATGCCCTCAAAGAATCATCTGGATGATGCAGTGTAGCTTGTTTCTTGGCAGGGCAGCCGTAGCAGTAATTAAGGCTGCATTAATGCGTTCTGTAGGTGTCACTGTAATGGCAGTGTCTGCATCGACTGAAGCGACTGAGCAGTGTGAGGAGCCAGGAGCTGCATCCACTCTTTGCCAAAAATGCGCTTACAATTTGACATGCCAGAACACCATTAAAAATAGCATCACTTAAGTCATAAACAACAAGGCAAATGATATTAGCATCCACTACAGTAACTGCAAAGTCAACGTGCAGTATTTCGGGAGATGGAATATGAGGCAGAGCATGCTTTACCAGTCATTCCAAGATGGTCTCTTTGGACAGAAGAGCACCAGCTTCAAAGAAATGCATTCTGCTTTGTGTGTGCTGGGAAGCAGGGAATGAGAAGAGGGGTCATGAAATTACAGCTGGAACTGATGACACTGGAAAAATTGAAATTCCTCTTTTGCAGTGATTTGGGTTAAGAAGTCCTAAGCATGCAGTATGAGCTATATACAACTCTGCAGACAACCATAGGTCAGTTCATGTAGTAAGGGGAAAGTCAGAAAGAGAAATATGTTCTGAAAAAAAGAAAAAGAAATGTTTCCGTGTAGTAACCTTTGTAGTTAAGCATAGGTGATCCTCACTGCCCCAGTCAGCAGAGGAATTTTATAGGTGCTTCAAATACATTAAAATACACCAATTAAATACATTAAAATACTTCAAATACGTTTTACTATCATCATTATTTAAGGAGAATTCAGCCCCGGAGGCCATATAACAGTTAAACTTGTCATAACAACTCCAAATATAATAGGAGCACAAGCTCAAGATACTCTTCAGATGTGTGCTGCTAATTGCAGTTACAATGGTATTATTTTCCAGCTTCATCTCCTGCAAGCCAGCACGTTAGTAATAGATGGAGAAGTAACTCATTTTGGTAAGCCCAGTCACACGTTACCTGTCTTCTCAAATGATCCATGTAATGAAAGCTATTGCAGTGCTAATCACAATCAGCACCATGTGGTAATGCCTGTTCAGTCCTCCGCGCTCTATTCCAACCTTGCTTTGGCTCACAACAGGGCGAACACAATTTAAAAACTCCAGGATGGAAATCCTTCTTGGTGGAAACATTTCCAGATTTGTACTTGAGTATTAATTGCGCTTGACGCTTAATTTGCAACAAAGAACACCTTACAGTGGCTGGACGTGTGCACTGCGAAAAGTAAGATAAAGGAACGTCTGTGACGCAGATTCTCGCAGCTGACGTTCTCCGGTGATATTTAGACTATGTAAATATGGGCAATGTAAGTAGTGATCTTATTTGCAATGCGGCTGCTGAATTCTTGGGAAGAAACCCAGACTTTGCACTTGCCACCTTCCACAGAACGAGCCCCACAGGAGCACAGCAAGGACTCTCTGTTTAGATGTGGTACAGAGGAAGATCTCTGTGTAAAAAGCCCTTCTGTACTCATAAACTCTGCAAAGGAAAACATACAACAGGATGCTTTTTTGTTGTTGTTGTTTTTAAATACACATCTGCCAGGAGGAAAAAAATAAAAAATGAGAAATAAAAAATGGACAGATTTCCACGTTTACAAACTGTCACACACGGGTTGCTCCAAAAGTAATGCCTCCTATTTATTTTCACAGAAACTACAACAGCTATAAAGGACAAAATAGCACTGCTTGGTAGAGCAGATTCTCAGCTACAAAGCACTATTTTTCAACACAGCCATCACCATTAGCTGATTTATAAAGATTAGCTGGTTGAGGCACTCTTCATTTTGTGGTGTGACAGCTATGCCTGGCAGTCCAGAATATGGCTTTCATTTCACTGCTTCCACTGCTGAAATGCACCATGCACCACCTCCTTGTGCTCACATCCACTGCTTGGTCTCCATAAATGTTCACCAAGCATTGGTGAATGTCAGTGGGTGCCATTTTTTCCTGCATGGAGTTAATCAGTGAGACCTCTTTTCTTCATCCACACTTATGTGTCAGACACCATTCTGTCTGCTGCCATCTGTCACACAGTAACAACATGTAACTCAATGTTGGCTGGAAGGTTCAATCTCTACTGCCATAGCACCACCATCTGCCTCTGACGTAATAACACAGGACACAGTGGTTTTGGAGCAGCTTTCACGATACAGCATCCCTTTTAAAACACCGCAGAAAACCTGCAGCAGCTCTGCTTTGACTCCTGCTCCCATATGCCTTGGTATTTTCCTCACTCCCGCTGAATGCAGGACCTTGTCTTGCTGTTGGAGTGACCCTGGCTCAGCAGTGCCAGCTCTCGGCTAAGAACCCAGGGCAGAGTTACCCGGCAAGAGCAGAGCAGCAGATTTTTAACATCCAGTCAGAAGCTGTAGCACGAACTGGAGCACAGATTGAGTTTGCATTATATTAGCATCTTTGTTTGTCCTTTTCTAACAGATGATACTTCTATTGCATAGTAAATGAGTAATGTTATTTCGTATTTATCTTACAATTAAAAGCCAAAAAAAAAACCTCAAGTCCTCTTCCCATTTCTTGGGCCCCATGAGCTTAAAATGTTCACTGCTCTGCTGCACTAGTATTCTCACAAGATTGTTAACACGCTGGTGGTTACATAGCGTGAAGTGGGAAAGCAGAACACTGCAGCTCGCTGAAGCTGCACAGGAGCCAAGCAGAGACCTGCTGGCAGCACTGCTGCGCAGAGCCCAACTGCACTGTCACAGGAGAGGAAAGCTTTGGTTGTGGTGGAAAGCAGGTCTGGGGGATTACAGAGCATGCAGTGCAATGTGTTACAAATAAGAAGCAGCTCTGTGCTGGCCCTTTGTCCTGCAGGTGGCAAGGAGATTTTCTGCAGAGTCTCATTTATGCTGATGTCTCCTGTAGGAAGAACGGGCCCTGGAGCATTTATTTCTCATGCAGATGTTACAGAAAGAGGCTGTGATCTCCTTTGAGATCCTGAGAAATGTGGCTGTAACAGAGCAAGGCCAGCCTGCCTTCATCTGTGTTCACATGAAGAGAATATATTGCATGCGGATCAGCTCTGTGTGCCTCAGGCTGATCACAGCTCTACATCTGAAGACCCCTGAGCTGAATGATATCCACATAGCAATCCTGCAGGAGGTGCAATGCTCACCTCACAGATACAGCCAGACTGAGAAGGAGTATCTATGGGTCTTCTTTTCAGTAAGAAGAGCTGATGGGGCCATTTCCAGCCATCTCAAGATACACTTCAATAAGACACCACCCTGATAAGAATAATCGACATGGTCCCAAAACACATGGGGCTAGGAAAGGTGTGTTTGCTAGCAGAGGACAATTCTTGTGTTAGTTTGCTTCCGGAAATAACAAGGATTTAGACCAGTGCCTGCAAGTTTATAGACAATCCTTTAGGGGCTTTATACTACCCAGGGAGCAACTGGCCAGAAACTGCCGTGTACGTTTCCCCTGAAATCTGGCCTTGTTAGCCATTGCTTTTCTCAGGGAAGATGGGATCATAGCAGAGGGAATTCCCGGACATGGGAGGACATGGAGCAGGGTGGGTGCTCAGACACTGAGGCTTCCTGCAGGCTCTGCTCTCAGCCTCCCCTTTCACTGGGTTCAAGGAGAGGACCGAACAAATCCCAAATTGAACAAACAAGCCCTGTGTGTCTCTACAAGCTTATCAGCGTGGCTGGAGCTTTCCTTTAATTTCTTGTTTGCTTGTTTGGGAGAGAATTCTGCAGTGGCTTGACAGATGGGTTATTGTGTGCGACTCCCTGCATGCACAACTAGGTCAACTGCCAGGCAGGCACTGTGCAAGCGTGAGGCTCCCCTGGATCAGCCAGCGGCTGCACATTATATTTTCAGAATTAGCTAGGTAGGAGAGAATGTCCTTCCTGGAATGTGCTATCTTGAAACTGTAGTCCCTTTGCTCGAGTCATCTGAAACCTCTTCTCGGACCCAGCTGCAAAGAGTGTGACATTCATGGCATTCATTTGCACCCCCATCAGCAAAGAGAGACTGGAGCAGTGGAAC